AAATTATGTGATGCCAGTGTAAATAATAATTACAGTCCTAAATGACTAGCAAAAAACTGTTTAAAATTTGTAAAATTACACCCAGCTTTATCAGCAAGAAAAAAAAGAAAAAAGGAAAAAAAAAAGTATTTACAGGTATAAATTTAGTGCATACTATAGAAACAGCTTCTTTTTATTCAGTACTGATCTAGTAGTGCTATAACCACACTGCTATATTAAAAGACTGAATTCTAGAACTCTTCCAGGACAGGTTACAATTACTTCAGAAGCCATCTGCTTGGACAAAAGGGATGGAAATTATATACCACAGGCAAGGCATAAAGCTGTATCTAGGTTTTCTGGGTAATAATGCTAACACCTCAACCTTGTATGGAAAACAAAAGTTATAATAATAAATAATTATTCCAATATTTTTTTTCAAATTATCAATTAATAAAAAATATCACATGACCTATAAGGATCCTTTTATAAAATTTCTCACTTCCAAACAAACAGGACTAGCTCCTGTCTGGTCTTCTCCAAAAGGAACCTAGCTCATATGCTTAACACCACTTTGAAATGTGAATCAAAGAACATAAAAGGGTATTTAAGAAGATTTGCTCCAGAGTGATTGCTTCATCAGAATTAAAACATTATTACAAGACACCTGCTAGTACTAAGGAGGCACATTAGTCTTTTGTAGAGAAACTTAAAAGGTTTATATTTCCTGGTTAACAAAATGAAACTAGTAAGAAAGGCTCAGTGGCTGGAAGTCTATAGAGATAAAATTTCCAGATTTTAGAAAGGCATATGATTAATACACAATAGAAAACTAGAGATACCTGATTAGCAGGAAAACAACTGGAACAACGAATAGGAGGCAAATTATCTTGTCTTTCATGTAGTGGATCTGTTCTCAGGAATTGCGGTTTCTTACCATCTTCATTCATTTCTGTCACCCAGCTCTGAAAAAAAATAAATATCTGTACGTTAAGGCAGTAAAGCAGATATACTTCATAGTCTACAATGACACTAATAACTATCTTTATAATACAGTGCTCTTAATGGGGAAAGCAATTAAGACAAAAAGCAATTGTGCTTTTTTGAATAAAAAGAAATCTACAAAAAAAATTTGTAGAGCTAAAAAGGAGAGTAAAGATTCAATGACACCAACTCAAGAAAATAATAAAACCACCACCATAATCTTTTGATCACTTCCTCATTTAATCAAACAATTGCATTCTACTTACGCACAAGAAGAGGAAGATTGATAACATCAATGAGATTGTATTATGACCATTATAAATTAGTTATACTGTACCATCAGTTCACCATTAATTATCTCCCATTCTTCAGCTGTGAAATCAGAAGCTGTGGCTGCAGGCTTTTCTTTTCTCAGAGCCCTGCTCCTTGGATCTAAGCGCTCAATACGCTTTTCACAAAACAATGTAAGTTCAGGGTAACATCCCTCCTCACCAGACCTTTAAAATTCAAAGATATAAAAGTTACAGTACTGAACTGCACTGGATCTTCCATATTTCTCTTCATGTATAGTCATCACAGAGACTGAAGAGGAGTATTTTCCTGTTACAATTTGTCCTGAGTTCAGGACTATAACCAGAAAATTCCAGTCAGCTAAGCTTCAACCACTTTCCAATGCACATACATACACAGTTCAAAATTATCATCACAGTGCTCAGGAAAAAATGATTGTGGTTTTTTTTTCTGTAGAATTTAAACAAGAATTTCACCTGAAATGACCACACTCAGGCAAGATGGCAGTATTTGAGAAAAACTGGCACTGGGTTACTCAAATCTTTTGGATGGTTAGAACAAGACTTGGATTTCTAGCATTATCATTTGGACACTTTTAACAAATTTTTTTTTTTTTTTTAATTAGTCACAAAAAGGTTCAAGACAAATAGAATATTTAGGTACAGGTTCTGTTGAATTTTACAGAGCATTAATATAATTAGTAATGAAGGTAAGAAAATATGTTTACCTTAATATCCTCAGAATCTTTTCCAGGTGTTTAACGTCTGTGCATTTTTCAATGAACTTGTAGTCCAAGTGACCAATGGGTATTTGAAATGTTTTAGTGGTTCCTTGATCCATAAAAAATGGTAGTGACTCATCACCCATAACTAAATATTAAAAAGAAACAAATGCAGCAATTCCATAGGCACTTAGTTATATTTTAAAGCAATGCTAATTTATGAAATAACTCTACTCATGCTCAGAAGTACTACTCTGTTATGCAAGCAGAACTATTGCCACAAAAGAAAAAATTCAAAATTTAAGACCTGGCCACACAAACTGGTTTTCAGAGAGGTTTGCTTACAGAAGTACAGTTATGAGATATGCTTTGGAAAAAAGAATATGGACAAGCCTACTGATTCTGCAAGGCAGAACATGTCAGAAAGAGTGCTTAAAGATATCAATTTTTGCCTACTAGATTCTCCATTATTCTTTAAACACAATATGGTATTATCTATTTTAAGCAAGTGTGGTGTGGATGGTGCAGTACCCTGTACTTTTTTTCAGAGGCAAGATGTTAACCAACTCAGTGCATGTAATGGCATGGTAACTTTTGCCTTCTCTTTAGCCAAAATAAAACCAATTGTCTTTCTTCACTAACTGCATTTTCTAGACCTCTGATTATCTTAGTTTACCAATCTAAATCTTTTCCAGTAAGTCTCTAGCTGATGAAATGACGTTTTCAAATGGGACACTTCCTGTCTCCCTGTACCTTTCAACTGCTTATCTGCATCTTCTTCTATTTTGATTCCAAGCTCTGTGAAGCAGATGTTATTCTTTTTTTTTCCTCCCCATGTTATATAGTGCTTAAAGTGATGTTATTTTAACAAGAACAGCTAGCTAGTACACAATAATAGCAACGTATAAACTCAATTAAAGTAACACAATTACACACATTAATTTTTAGTTGCACAAAAAAAGTTTTTTAAGCAATACTCGATTGTAATTGGTCGTAATTAGGTATTGCATAAAGACAGGATTCTGTCCTGAGAATGTGCGGTTTCAGTAGAGGAGAAACAGAGCAATACAGGAAACAATAGGAGTAAAAAGCAAGAAAGGCACTCATCACAGGCTGCAGCACTTTCTCCCGTGTATTTCCGTACCTGTCAGGGAGCTGCCCGGAGCAGCTCTCGGGCCAGGCGGTGACACGTACCCCTCGGTCGCACGGCACCGCCGCAGCCCAGCGCGCTCCTCGCCTGCGGGCAGCTCCCCGCAGCCGCACCGCCGAGCCCTGCTCCGCGGCCCTGAGAGTACCGTCTTTACCCCCGGCGTCAGGAATTTACTTTAAAGCCGACACCGCCGGCTCCCCTAGCACCACAGCGCGGCCACCCGGTCCCTAGCAACTGTTGCCACGTACAACATGGCGGCCGGCCGCGCGCACGGACGGGTGCGGGGCAACGGCAGGGCAGTGCAGCTGCCCCCCTCGGTGACCGCCTTGCGAGGCTTCCGCACAGCCCCGCTGAGCTCCAGCAGCAGCAGCAGCAGCAGCAGCAGCAGCAGCAGCGGCAGCGGCGGCGGCGGCGGCACCGGCGCAGCGCACACCCGCACTCACCTGCCTGGTGCCGCACTGCCTCCTGGAGACGACCGCAACCTAACACCTCGCCTCAGCCGATACCCGCCTCCCGCTGCGCATGCGCTGCTGAGCCGTGTGGAGCGGAGGGTGAGGGGCGGGAGCGAAACGCTAGGCCTAAGGAGGATGGCGTCGGGGTCGCTCCTCTCCCTCGCACGGCGTGGCCGGGGTCACGACACGGAAACACAACATTTAGGTTATGTTTTATTAAAACTACAGCCCGGTTTGTTTTCAGTGTAGTATTTTATCTAGCTTAGAACAATCCCCTCCCAACGCTGGTGCCTGCAGTGGTGCCGCCCTGCAGCCCCCGGCACTGCTCTGTTAAGCACGTCCGCACCACTTCCTAATAGGAGCAGATGCTCATCTGTGCCTTTGCCCACAGACCCGCAGAGCCCGTGCCTTCGTGCCAGCAGGCCGCTTGCAGCATGAAAACTGCCCTCTCCCCAGCGGGCAGCTCTCAGAAGCCTTCGAGCCCTCGTTGCTGTTGTGCAGGCACACACTGCATGCTACGTGTGCCAGTAGGGAGAACAACTGTTGCAACTGTGCAACGGTGCAGTAAAATTGCTATATTCTCATGCATTTACAGCGAAGTGTATCTGGCTTCCAAGAAATGAGATGAGAAATGTATTTACAGCTAAAATGAGATAAGATACCTAAGACAATCTTTATCAAACATCTCCAAAATACAATCTCAAGAATGCTTTTTTATCAGCGGCAATGACCCACTGCAGTTCATTTATGAGCCAGTACATGGCCATGCAGTCTGGCACAAGGATACCTCACTATATTGATAAGAGATAAACTGTCTTAACACACACTCCAAACAGGTGAAAAAAAAAGTACTGGCTCATCAATACAAACCCACTTTGATGTTTTTATTACAGTCCCCTGAGAAGCCACCAGAAAAACAAAACAAGATGCTATTTTTGTTTTGGGACACTACCCAAATTATAGGACAGATCTAATTCTTTCCCAGGCACAACCAAGACAAGAAGCACACTGGGAATTCCCATTTACACATTGTTCCTGATGTTTACCTTGCCTCCCCTCTTCTTTTCTGATAGATTATTTTTTTGACACTTCCTTTACAAACAGGTGCCTGAACTGGGTGCTTTTGAGTCCTTTGAGATTTGCTCATTTGTAATGGAGATTTGCATTTCAGGCCTAGCCTTGTGTAACCTGTTTATTTTCAGTAGAATTTATTCAAACCACTGTTACTTTATGGAGTCTGTAAGAGTCCAGAGAACATGTAACAGAAGTTAAAATGCAAATAATGTTTAGATGAGAGTAATGAAAATGAGGTTAACTCAAAAAGAACACAATACCACTGAACTTAAAACAACTACTGCATACTCCAACTACAATTTAAAGGACAAGTTTAGAAATCTACTGCTGGAAGACAATAGAGACATGATTTAGTATAACAGTAAACTTTAATATTTCAATCTCTTAAAACACAAATAACAGTGTGCATTTGTACATGAATGAATTTACAAAGCAAAGTTATCAGAAAGATTAAACTGCCCTCATGACATCACTGTATCTTCAGCAGACATTATCGGGCATCAAAAACCACCACTGGAATAGTGCAGTTAAAGAAAAAAAATGCATTGTGGTTGAAAAAAAAGATGGGGGGGAAGAAGATTGTCTAAATGTAAAATCACAAGTAACTACATAATTAAAGATGAGTTTTGAAATGCTTTTAACTCCACAGCATCTTTTCTTAAAAGGCTGAATAATACCAACAATCCATAGTACACCACCCAGCATACTATCATAGCTTAATATATTTTGCATAGAAAATGTCAAAAAGAGAGAAAGTGCCAGGAAAAAGTACAAGGTGCCCAATCACACTGCAGAGATTTCCCTATAGTACTTTGCTCTACTATACTGATTTCTGGCCTTGAAAGATTCTTACATCCTTACTCAAATCTTCCACTCTGTTTCCCTTATATATACCTTGTCTCCGTCCACAACTTCCCAAATGCTGTCAAGTGCATGTTTAAAAGGATACATCTTTTTGTCCTTTTCTTGTACATTATTCTGTAGCCACATTCTCTGCATCTGATGGGATCTCTTGCCTTTATTTCATTTTCTGTATGACATTCTGACATGATGAAGATAGAGTGGTTAAACAAAACCAGCAACTTTCAAAAATCGTAACAGTCAAATTCCTATTTGTGGCAAATGTAACAAAAACCAGCTGCAAAGAATCTGTAGCAAGAGCTGAATGGTATCAAGATACTGCATAAAAAAAGAAATTCACAATCTTCAGTTCTATTAAGATCAAAGAGGATCTTGCTAAAAATCACCAGATTGTTACTGTACAGAATATATTCCACTCTTGATACAACTAGACTGCCTACTAATGAAATCTTCAGCTCATTCTCCCAACCCAAGTTTATTTTCTTAAAGACAAAATACTTCAGGTATTCCCAAAGTGATGGCTCAAAATCACCAATTCTTAAGTTGTTGACATATATAGATAAGAGAGATTTGACTACTGCACTTCAAGAAAATATGAGTAGCATCTGTGCACATAGCACTTTCAAAAAACTCTTGAAGTGCACTAAATAGAAGGTCCACTGTCTGCACCACAAGCAGACACTTGGAGAAAGCATCCTCTGGAGGTGGATGACCTCCACACAGCAATCTCCACAAGCTCTCATGAATTACTTCCACATTGCTATCCAAATACACCCCATGTATGTGGTACCATCAGTGTGTAAACCTTTAAAGAACACCAGGAACCACACTACAACTATTCATATTTATGCACTCTTCAGTATAATGATTAGGCATTCTTCATTATTAAAACACCAAATCTCCAGTAACAAGTAAAAAAATTGATGTCTTTTCTTTACCTCCACAAATGTAAATCATTGGCTGCTGCTTTGGAGGCTGAACATCCTTCTGTGAATCCATGCTCTAAACAAAACACACATGCACATCATGTATTTTTTTAATTACTTTTTCAAGGCGTACATAATCATTTCAATCTCTCAGTCTAAAGCTCAGTCTAAAGCTCAGCTTCTCAAAACCAAAGTAACATCAGGTTTCTCAGAGCTTTACCAATCTGGTATAGAAAACCTCCAAAGATCATAGAATCATACAGTAGTTTGGTTGGAAGGGACCTTCAAAGGTCATCCAGTCCAAACCCCCTGCAATGAACAGGGACATCTCCAATTAGATCAAGTTGCTCAGAACCACATCCAGCCTGGCCTTGAATGTCTCCTGGGACAGTGCATCCACCACCTCTCTGGACAACCTGTGCCAGCATTTTACCACCCTCACTGTAAAAATTTTTCTTCATGTCCAGCCTGAATCTCCCTTCTTTCAGTTTAAACCCATCACCCCTCATCCTATAGCAACAGGCCCTGCTAAAATGTCTCTTCTCATCTTTCTTATAAGCCCCTTTTAAGAACTGAAAGGCTGCAATAAGGTCTCCCCAGAGTCTTCTCCAGGCTGAACATGCACAACTTTCTCAGCCTTTCCTCATAGCAGAGGTGCTCCATCCCCCTGATTACTTCTGTGGCCTCCTCTGGACCCTCTCCAACAGGTCCATGACTTTCCTGTACTGAGGACTCTACAGCAGACAGCATGACATTTTCTATTTAATGAGATTCTAAACATTAAAGCCCAATTAATATTTTACTCCTACCTCTTGCCAATGCCCTACTAAAAACATAAAAAGAAATTATTTCTTACGTAACACTATTATCAACAGTGTTATCATAAAACAAGATAAGCTTTGCATTTTCCCTTTCACCCTCTGATACAACACTAGCTAACCTAATCTACCTTTTCATTGATTTAAGGAATTATAAATCCTTGGAACAGACTGTGGGTAGAAGAGTAAGAGGACTAAAAAAAAAAAAAGGGGGCGGGGGGGGTGGGGGTGTCAAGGGGCAGAGAGAAGAAATTCCACCCTGAGAATCATAACATATGTGTGCACAATCACCAAACTGATCAAGAGTTTGGTAACGCAGTGCTACTCTTCAAACACTTCTTAATGCCCTATGACATTTTTGATTGTTTGGATTTATTTAAAGACAAGCATTCCTTCGCAGTATATCAGACTAAATAGTTACATATCCTCCAAAAACATGCTACTAACCTTTAAGTAATCCTATTCTAACACAGAAATATGGCTGCAACCGTAAGTTTCAAGGTTGCTCCTGTAACCTCTAGACAGATAAACAATACTTTTTTTCCACACAATTCAAGACTAGACTAGGATGTATCTCCTTGTACATGCTTTTTTTTAATCTTCTGAGGTAGCTGTTTTCTATGTCACTGTTCTGTCTGACAGAGAAGACAAAGATTCCTAACCCTTATGGCAGTGAATTGCATTCATAATACTTCTTTATAAGCATGACTCTTGGCTGCTTTTGCTTAATATTACAGTAAGGATTATTTCCCTATCTTTACAGTTTGTTTGAGCTAGGATGTTGGAAATAGAATGATAGGTTTGACAGAAGCAGTTCATCCTGTTTAAGAGTCTAATCAACACCTAACAAACCACCTTTTTAAAATCCCATTATGCCACTCCATTTGAGGGAACTGGAAATAATTCATTAAACTCTATAGCTTTCAAGTAAGGTTTTGCTCTACCTTAACCACAGTGGCAACTCGATCCACAGGTGTTATAGCCTTTTTGTGTCAGTACATTATAGTAAGATTAACATTATAGTGATAATTATAGTAACAGTACATTATAGTAAAATATACTATAGTAATTCATTAGCACTTGAAAAGAGCAATTTGCAAGCCAGAGAGCTGAACTAAGGACCACAGCTGCAGTGGTACACTGAGTGCTGCTCATGCAACAAAATATACTGCTACTAAAGACTACAGCTATGTATTTTGCAGTGAGGTGCCATGGATTGGCCGGCCTCCACGTACCCTGCAATTACAAGTGCTGCCGAGGTGCCACAGGCAAAAGGCACACAGCGATGCACCCGGGTGCAGCCGCCATCTACCGCCAAGACGCGGGACGCCGGCCGAGCTATTACGTACCTGTGAGAGCCGAACCCGCTACTTTACGCCCCGTAGCACCCACAGAGGGGGACGGCCAGCGGCCTTCCTCAACTGCAGGAACAACAGCCCGCCCCAGTTCCGCACCGGGGCCTTCCCTACCTCCCCGGGGGGGCTTTACGCAGGAGCAAAGGTCGAGGCTAGGCCAGGCCTTTCCCTACTCCCCACAGTCTCTGCACCTCCCCGCTCCGAAGGGGACTACCGGCTGCGACGGAAGAATCCCAGAACCCCCAAACAAAACCCAGACCACCACTCGCCTGCACGGCAACTCCACCCGCCCCGCTCTGCCCACGGCGCCGGCTGATGACGACACACCGTGCGCCGGTGCCGCCCTGCACACCAGGGCGTGCCGCTGTGGTACCGGCCGCCAGAGCTGGAGTGCGCACGATGCGGATAGTCTCTGCCCGGCCGGTTAATCCCGACACCTTCAGCCTCCTCCCCTCTCGGTAGTGAAGCCGAGAAAGAAAGAAATGCTTTTATAACGAGTGTGAGCGTTAACCGCTTATGACGAAAGCGCAGAATATTCGGTGGCATTTGTTAAACGTTCAAGCTTTCGGCTGAATCGTATCGCCGGTGTGCGAAGAAGACAGCGGGCGGTGCAGGGGTAGTGCGACAAGATCGAGCGCACCCGGCTTTTCGGTGTGGCGGCGCCCGACCGGCTGTGCGTGCGCGGGTCGGGCAGCTGCGGGCCTTTTAACACGTCTGGGCTCTCGCCTCCGGATCTTCAGTTCTATGTAAGACACTTGGATAAAAACAGCATCTTGGTATTCATAGAATCTCAGAACCGTTTGGGTTGAAAGGGAATTCAAACCTCATCCAGTTCCAACTCCCTGCCAGGGCCAGAGAAACCTTCCACCAGACCAGGTTGCTGAAAGCCTTGCACACTGCCAGGGATGGGGCAGCCACAGCTTTGGGCAACCTGTGCCAGTGCCTCACTGCCCTCACAGTAAATAAATTCTTCCTGGTGTCGAATCTAAATCTACACTGTTACAGATTAATGCCATTCCCCTTTGTCCTATCACTACATACCCTTGTAAAAGTATTTTAAGCTTGTGGGCAGTATCATATGTACCCGTATTAATCCAAATTTACAAGCCGCGATGCAACACATTTTAAGTGTGAGTTACTATGAAAGAAATTCAAACGTCGATGATTCCCGAACTGGAATAGCACAGACGAGACTTGGAATTTCACCGGCTGCACTCTCGGTCCCTGGCTCAGCGTCACTGGCGCTGCAGATTTGGAATCCTCGCTGGGCATTTAGCAGAATAACCCATCTTTGCTTTATTTCTGAAAAAAAATGCTTAACAAATACTGTTTTGAGAATATGCCCATTTAAATTACTTCATCATTTAAAAAGTTTCCTAATTTAAGGAAATGTATTTCTTCTCCTGAGTATAAAATGTTTCTTAGCCACCCAAATGCGTGGATGTGCATGAAGTTTTACCAGTGGTAATTTATTGATACTGTTCTCATAGTAGCAAATCACCTTCATACATTACCTACAGCTTATCTAAAATAAACTCGGCGAATAATAAATAGCTGCGCTTTTCCTATTTTTTTTATTTAAGTTAAACGTAATGAAAATACAGTAGTGATTTCAGGCAGCTCTGAATAAATATATAGAATAAAGGGAATGTGAAGCAGAGCCGGAGGGAAACCTGAACCCTTCCCTTCATGGTAAATGCATGCGAAGTAATAACCATCTTATAAATAAACAAAAAAACCACAACTGTTATTTCCGCACACCCGTTTTAAAACGCGTTTGTCAAACCGGTAATTTTAAAAGAACTTGTCAATAACTCCACGCCATGAAGAAGTCAGTTGAAGTTAATTCTGTGAAGCTGCCTCCCTTATTAGGGAAGGAATCTTATAATTGCTTGATTATTGTCAGCTTTTACCTGTTCGCTTGAAAAACCAGGATGTTTTACCAGATCTTAAAGGTTCGTTCCTTCAGTCTGTTCTGAAACAGCCCACTTCCCTCAGCGGAGCGCTTTAACAGCAGCCCGTGATCTGATGGGCGGATAAACTCTCGCCCTAAGGACGCTCCTTGGATTTGGAGGAGCAGAAAGGGTTGGGGGCTGTGTGGGAGACCTCCACTGTCCCAGAAAGGGAGACAGCTCTTGGGGAATTGGTAGGAAAGAGTAAGGAAAGGCTTGTGGCGGGAGGCGGCGAGGTGCGGGATACTTCTAGATGATAAACAAACGCGGTCAGAGCCAAGCGCAGCGTATGCTGCAGACTGTCTTACCTTGTTTTGTTTAGAAGCAATGTTCTCAGGTTTGGGGGGTTTGGGTTTGTAGTGTAGGTTTGCATTTTTCTGATTCGTTGGTTGGTGGGTGTGTAACGCATTTTGTTAAATCGCGCTTTGTTTTTAGCGCGATGTCTCTGTTTATTGCATTAAATGCGGCAATTACAAATTGTTACTTTTTTTTTTTTGTCTATCAGGGTTTGAGTGACGAGACAAAACTCGCAGCTACTGGCCCGCTTTAAGGAGCTAGCAGGCTGCCAATTTCACAGAAAAAAAAAAAATCATTTATTTTATAAATAAATACAACTATTTGAAACATGTTTTCTTCTGATACACGTGAAATAGACGATATTACAGAAGGCACTTCTGGAAAACTTGTATTACATGCTGGAAAGTTTCTAACGATTTCTTCTAAAAAGGAAAGAGCAGATACCCTGACTTTTAAGCCCGTGTTTCCTGAAGCCACTCTGAGCCTGCCGGGCACGTCGGCTGTCAGAGACTGGAGGTTGCCAGAGGGGAACGCTGCAAATTTGGGGATGACAGTATCTCATTTCGGCGTTCTTTTGGAAAGCCTCTACTTTGCTTCTTTAGATGTAGGTGTTGCTTTTAGAGTCGCACACGACGATTTCATCTCTCTCCTTCATTGTCCGGGTGGAGGAAGAAAACTGGAAGTGTGAAGAGGGAAAGAAGCAACAAAATTAGAGATAACCCGGAGTAATATTAGCGAGATG